TATTTATGCCTTTTGATAACATCCAGAGGAAGTAATTTTGGCATGTTTCATAAATATCAAAGTAAAACTAAAATTATAATCCATATTTTCTTCAGGAGCATTGTTTTCTCTCTAAGCTTTACTTTTATCTTAGAATTTGAAGTTTCCTTCCTTTTTGGCTCAATTCTATCTTCTTCAAAAATCATTAGAAATAATGGACTAATTTTTTTGGAAGTAAAAGTGAATTCTGTACAAATCTTTCCACTGGTTTACAGGTGAGGTAGTCCACCATAGGTCTCAAAGATCTTCGCACAGTCTTGCTAAGTGTGCCACACTAAGGCCTAACCATCCCCTGATACTGAACTGTGCAGTTGACTTTATCTGTGTATTATTCCAGTCTAATGAATGGCTAGACAGATTTCTGTAAGACTTTTTCACTCTGAGCTAGGTTGTACTTTCTTAGTCCTTTCTTTTGGCCAAGGGCTATTAAATTTGGACCATAGGACATTATTTTGTGAAATCCAGATGTGCACCACTGTCTGAGTTCCATTGATAAGAAGTCTATTTGGATAGTTGGATTAAAATCAATCCTTCATGTTTCTTTCACTGTAAGATGAACTTTTGAGTCAATTTATGTGACAATGACTGAATAATAGCATTTAAGACTCTGAAGATCACACATATGAACACTGTAACCCAGACAAATACTAACAGAATATTTTATAATCAGACTTTATAGTATACTTTTAGGAAACAAGTGTGTCCAAAATTAAACTAAGACTATAGATCCTATCCCCCAATCTGAAGGGTCTATAGAACTAGCTATCAGAAGAGGGCCGCTGTTCTCCAGCCTCCAGGATGGTAGATCCACCAAAAGCTTGCACCATGAACCTGGAAAAGCCTCAGATACTCAATGTCAGCCTGCGCAGGAGCTGCCGCCCAAGGCTGTGGGAGCCCACTTCTTGCATCAGCATCCTCCAGATGTAAGACATGGAGTCAAAGGAGATCATTTCGGAGTTTTAAGATTTAATGACTGCCCCACCGGGTTTCGGATTTGCATGGGGCCCGTGGCCCCTTTGTTTTGGTCAATTTCTCCCATTTGGAATGGGAACATTTACTCAATGCTTGTACCCCCACTGTATCTTGGAAGTAACTAATTTGTTTTTTATTTTACAGGTTCATAGGCAGAAAGGATTTGCCTTGTCTCAAATGAGACTTGGACTTTTGTGTTAATGCTGAAATGAGTGAAGACTTTGGGGGACTGTTGGGAAGGCATGATTGGTTTTGAAATGTGAAAAGGACATGACATTTGGGAGGGGCTGGGGACAGAATAATACAGTTTGGCTCTGTGTCCCCACTCAAATCTCATCTCGAATTGTAATCCCCATAATCCCCACATGTCCAGGGAGGAACCCAGTTGGGGGTGATTGCATCATAGGAACAGTTTCCTCCATGCTGTTCTCGTGATAGTGAGTGAGTTTTCACAAGATCTGTTGGTTATGAGGGGCTCTTCCCCCTTCATTCCTCACTGGATGTAACTATAGTAACAAAGGCTTATTTTTTTTTTTTTTTTGAGACGGAGTCTCGCTGTGTCACCCAGGCTGGAGTGCTAGTGCCGGATCTCAGCTCATTGCAAGCTCCGCCCCCGGGTTTTTACGCCATTCTCCTGCCTCAGCCTCCCGAGTAGCTGGGACTACAGCGCCCACCACCTCGCCCGGCTAGTTTTTTGTATTTTTTAGTAGAGACGGGGTTTCACCGTGTTAGCCAGGATGGTCTCGAACTCCTGACCTCATGATCCGGCCCGGGTCTCCGGCAAAGTGCTGGGATTACAGGCTTGAGCGCCCACGCGCCCGGCCAACAAAGGCTATTATTTAAACTTACTTGGTTCTATATTTTTAGTGAAATTAAAATTAAATTTTTTCTTTCTTCATAGACATGTGTTTACAATTTACCTACACTAGATATTCCTAGAATATGCACATGACTGAATGAGTTTTCTGACCAATTATATTTAAAATTTCCCATTGCTAGGGAAGGCCAGGATGGAAGGTGGTAGGAGGAATGGGAGACTGGTGCTATGTATCTGTGACAGAATCCTGACAATCCTTCACCCCCCTAGTCTTTTTTTGCTAGCCTTAGTGCTGGTAAGCCTGACTGGGTTTCATCCTAAGGTTAGGCAACAGGAAGAGAGTGACGCAACCTTTTGCTTCTGCTTGACTCGGTTTCAGTTGTTGGCATGACGAAGAGTACAGGCCATGAGGATAATAGTTGGTGAAATTCTATGGGCCTAGACAGTACCCCTACAGTGGCCTACTTGGGCAATGTTAGAGGATGTCATGGGCGTTGCAAGTTCTACCCATTGTGCCAGTCCATGAGCCTTTCATCCATCTGGGTAGAGGTGGGTGGATGCTGGGGGAAAGGAGAAATAGTGGCTTACTGATTAAAGACAAATGGACTATATTGGAAAGAGCAATAAACCTGGAAGGAATACTTAGTCCCCAGGAGGTGTGGGAAGGGGGGAAAACATTTTAATGCTTTCTTTGTCCCTAGATGTAGCACTGCAGCATGGCAAAACAATCACTTGGTCCACCCGAGTCAGGCGGCAGCTGAATTGGCAACACAACGCTGTGTGGGTTTACCATCCCCATCCTCATGCTATAAAAAAGACACTCATGTGGTATGGCAGGATCCTGAACTATTTCACTGCCCATGACACTCTCACGCAATAGTTAGCACTTGTTTACATACCTGACACCCTCACAATAACATGACGATTGCTGTGTCTGACACCTCAGCTCTTCCTCATATGTGCACCAGGGCAACTTTGATTCAATCTGATGGTAAGAATTTAGGCATGGAGCCCTCAGCTGGGTTCCATTAGCTACGGCACAACTCACTGTGCATTATGCTTCCATGCTCATCACAACACTTCTGTGAGACTTGGAGCATGGTGGAACCAGAGCTACCATTTCATGCCCCTGCTGTTTGCCATGGTGTCTTACTCTGATTTCATTGTTATTTGAGCAGCTATGGATGGCCAGGTTTACTCCCTTGCCCCTTCCAGAGTGTGGGGCTCTTCTCCAACAACAGAACAAGGGCAGACAAAGATTTTTATCTCTTAATGAAGAATATGAATAATTCTAAATGGACTCCTTCCTCCTCTCTCCTTTCTATTTGAGTTAATGCCCTTCTTTTTCTTTCTTTTGTTCATCCATATAAATCATTTGATTCAAAGATACTGAATTTTAGCATAGTTAGAAAATTGAAGATTATAAAATCGTATAAGGTTTTTTTAAGAAGTTCCTCGGAAACATTCTTTTCAAGGCCTGAAACCAAAACGTTTAAAATATTTTGACACTTTTTATCTCTTTTATAGGCAATTATAATTGAAGAGTTTCCATGTCGTTTTCTTTTTTTATGTTAGACACGCTCTGTATATTATAATTTTTTCAAACACTGAAGGGAGGAATTACGATCATATTTAAAGGCTGTCTTAGGAAGGAAAAGATCTGACCTTTAGGTTGAACTATCCATTTCCAGTCTTTTTTTTTTTTTTGAACTTTTGTATCATGCTAGTATTCTGAAACACAGAAAACAAGACTATAATGAACGCTCCCATGTATTCATCATCAGCTTTAACAACTGTTAACTTCCTGCTAACTCTTATTTCATCTACTCCCCAACATTTTTTTTCTAAATTGTTTGTTTTTGTTTTTTTTTTTTTTGAGACGGAGTCTGCACTGTTGCGGAGACTGGAGCTGCAGTGGCACCAATCTCGGCCTCACTGGGGCAAAGCTCCCGCCTCGGGTGTCACACCATTCTCCTGCCTCAGCTCCGCGTAGCTGGACACTACAGCGCACCCGCCCACCGATGCCGGCTATTTTTTTTTGCTTGTTTAGTAGCAGATGGGGTTTTCTCGTGTTGTAGCTAGGGATGGTCTCGATCTGTTGACCTTGTGATCCACCTGGCACTGGCCTCCCAAGAGTCGCTTGGGATTACCAGTGTGAGCCAGACCGGTCTGGCTCTGAAGATTAAAAAAATCCGAGCCAGGCAAGTGGACATGGTAAATATTTTGCCGAGCCCCAAGCAGAGTTTTTGTAAGGATCCCCTTAAAGGCCAGTTGTGGGCCAGACGTGTTCGAGATCAAGCTGGCGCATATAGCAGACTCCTTTTACAAACAAAAATTAAAAATCGGCTGGCATTAATGGTGCCTGTTAGTCTCCGCTGGAGGCAGGAAGATCGCCTTCGAGCCCAGAAGATGAGAGGTTACCAGTGAGCGTGTGATTGTGTCACTGCGCACTCCAGGGCCTGGGCAATAGAGTGGAGACCCTGTCCCTGCCTCCCCCAAAAATCGCTGGTAACTTTATTTCACATAAGTATATGTACAGCAATTGGTTGGTTGGTTGGTTTTTTTTTTTTTTGTTTTTTAGACAGAGTCTTTGCTTCTTGTCGCCAGGGCTGGGGCTGCAATGGCACAATCGTCGGCTCACACAACCTCTGCCTGCCTGGGTTCCAATCAAATTGTCTCCTTGCTTCAGCCTCCCACAGTAGAGGCTGGGCAGCAGGTGCCCACCATACAGGCGTGCTAATTTTGTATTTGTTTTTTTTTTTTTTGTAGTTTTAGTTCAGACGGGGTTTCTCCCTGTTGGCCAGGCTGGTCTCGAACTCCTGACCTCCTGATCTGCCTGCCTTGGCCTCCTAAAGTGCTGGGATTACAGGTGTGAGCCCATGACCAGCCTGTAAGTCAATCTTAATCCTACAGAAGTAAATGTAATACAAATAGAACTATAGCATATAAATGAAGAAATATTAGGTTGGTGCAAAAATATATTCATCCCATTCATTCATTAAAGCCAGGTAGCTAGGCACTGTGGTAGGTGGGGAGATCAGAAAGATAGCCACGTGAGGACAGGAGAAGAAAGTTCATAGGTTATTAGGTGAATAAGCAAATACAAGACTTATTGATCCTAAATGATGATGATCACTTACTGTTTGATCATCAAAGGATAAAGATCACTTACTGTTTTAAGCCCTCTGCAAATGTCAATTCATTCATTCTTCGCAATCATCCTTTGAGGTAAGCAGTATGATTACAGATGAAGAAACTGAGATCATGCAAAGTAAAGTAACTTGCTGGAGAGCGTTCAGATAGTGTGTGGTAGAGCTAGGATTTGAATCTAAGCAATCTGATTTCAGAGGCTGTGCCCTAAAGGGAAATAAAAGAGGAGACTACTTTAATATTGTGGTAAAAACAATGCTATCTGTTCATCATACTATTTCATTTCTTCCCTAAGCACACAAGAAGACCATATTTTCCAGGTCCCTAGACTTTAAATGGGCTGTATGACTAATTCTGGCTAATGGAACATGGGTGGACGTAAATAAAAAATCTCATACAGTGATGGCTTCCCAAAATGGAAGGAGCTTGGGTCTCTGAGTTACTACTTAGAGGACAGTCCCCATCAGGTACATCTTTATTGAGATTCGTGAGCATGAGAAATAAACTCTTACTCCGTTAAGTTACCAAGATTTTGGAGTTTTAATGGCAGCTAGTGTAAATTATACTAATAGAAACACTTTAATTTAAATGTTTTAAAATTATGAAATATTTAAAAATATTGAAAAGTACAGAATATATTAACAATCAGATCTCTATCCCCCGATTTAATAGATATTAATATTGTCACATTTCCTTTATGTTTTTCTTCCAGAAATCCATAAGATAAAATAGCTAGTAACCAACAAAGCATCATCTTATCCTTTAGCCCTCCCTAGAAGTAACTACTATCCTGCAGGTGGTATATATCATCCGCATTTATATTTTTTACTTTTACTACAATATACTGAATTATAGAGTATTATTTTGTGTGTTTTTCTTTTTCTTTTTTTTTTTTTTTTTTTTGAGATAAGGTCTCGCTCTATTGCCCAGGCTGGCATGCAGTGGTGTGATCTCAGCTCTCTGCAACCTCTGACTTTCAGGCCCCAGCAATCCTCCCACCTCAGCCTCCCGAGTAGTTGGGACTACAGGTGCATGCCATCACCCCTAGCCAATTTCTTGTATTTTTTTGTAGAGACAGAGTGTTGTCGTGTTGACCAGGCTGGTCTCGAACTCCTGGGCTCAGGTGACCTGCTCGCTTTGGCCTCCCAAAGTGCTGGGATTACAGGCATCAGCTACTGTGTCCGGCTTTTGTATGCTTTTAAAATGGACACAAATAGTATCAAAAAGTTTGCTTTTTTTCATTCAGTATTGCTTTTAAGATGTATCCATGTTGGTTTACATAGCTGTAATACATTTGAACAGTTACATAAAAATATAGTTATTTATTTATTTATTTATTTATTTTATTTTTGAGACAGAGTCCTGCTCTGTCACTCAGGCTGGAGTGCAGTGGTGGATCTTGGCTCACTGCAACCTGCGCCTCCCGGGTTCAAGCAATTCTCGTGCCTCAGTCTCCCAAGCAGCTGGGATTACAGGCTTGCACCACCACGCTCAGCTAGATTTTTTTTTTTTTTTTTGTATTTTTAGTAGAGACAGAGTTTTCATCATGTTGGCCAGGCTGGTTTGGAACTCCTGGCCTCAAGCAATTCGCTTGCCTCAGCCTCCCAAAGTGCTGGGATTACAGGTATGAACCACCATGCCTGGGCAAAAATATAGTAGCTTACTTATCTATTCTCCTACTGAGAGACAGTTAAGATCATTCATATTTTCTTGCTTCTACAAATAAAGCTGCAATGAAGTTCCTTGTACATGCCTAATGTAAGATAGTCAGGAAGGTCTCTCTGAGGATTTTATCATTAAAACTGATTCTTGAAGGATGAAAAGCCAGCCAGGAAACAGTATTTCAAGTATCTGCAACATAATGCAAGATATCTTCAGTGGGAGGGAATGGCATGTACTATGTAACCAGTGAAGTTACAGTGTAGTAAGGGAATAAGTGGCAGGAGATGGGGAGTTTATTGAAATTTCTGTGAGTTGAATAGATATCTTTAAAAATAGAAAAGTATTATTTATGAAAAATAATATTCTAAAGAAAAATAGGGTGAAAATTCAGCAATAGGACTATGAAACTTACTGTGCTTGAATTATTGGAGACCAGAGAGGTAAAGTAAACGAAAGCTCCTGAGTGCAGTGATATCCCACCTCCCAACCAGATAGTGTTACCAAAATGCCAGGGGTTTGGTCTAGGTCCCATTGCTCCCTGCACAGAAAGCCAATCACTGAGACAACGACTATTGTCAGGGAAGTAATCATTCCATCTCTCTGACTGACTACAATTGGGGGTTTATATAGTGGGAAAGGAATATAACTACATGTGGGTAAACAGGAATTAGGGAGAGGTAAGGAAATCATGAAGGATGAGGGACCTGGCTTCTCATTGTCTAGATACGGTGACCTGGTTTCGGTTTCTTGAAACTATCTGGGAGGCGTGAGGGTTATTTTCCTGAGAAAGGAACTCAGTTAAGACAAATATAAGTTTCAAGCTTTAAAACTGGAAGGGTTAATATCTATGTTTATTTTAAAAGACTGTAAACATCGGTTCTATGGGACAATTGGGCTGATTCCAGTAATATAGCCACTTGGCAAACATAGGAAGGGCTAGTAGAATAAATTAATGGGGAAAGAACGAAAATGTTAGTATGTTTGGCTGAGTTACTAAAGAAATGACCCATATTTAAAGCACTTTTGGAAAGTTTCCAATTTATCATTTTAAAGCTTACAGTAAAATATTTGACACTATAGTATAGGTACATACTTCTTTCATTCACATTTTTCAGTTGTTCCTCTATTTGGTGATCACATGATTCACACTTCAGATCGTTTCAGAACTAGCAGCATGATATTTTCTCAGCTCTTAAATTGACTGAAATGCTTCAGATGTTTCATGAGATTAATCTGATTTTAACAAAAGGAACAAAAAAGATTGCAAAACATGGAGAAAAAGGGGAATTTCCTTTAAAGCCTTTTTGATGGAAAAATGAAATTATGATACATATGGTTTCATTTAATGTACAGCTGCCCCTCAGACTCAAAAGGGTTGAAAAGGAATTGAAAAGTATTTTTTTCATTATTTCGATAAGATTTGCAATCACTTCTATCCAAAATGGAAAGCAACAGCAGAAATTGCATTCATTCAACAGATGCGGCATTCATAGTCAAGTCGAGGAGGAACCATGGGCATGGTCTGACCAACCTAGAAAAAAATGAGAACATTGTAATGACTTTGCATTTAGAATAAAACCCAAACTTCTTACTGTGGCCTCTAAAGCCATTAGCAGAGTAGCCTTTGCCTGCCTCTCTATGCAAATTAAAACCACACAATTAATTTGTGTAGGGAGCAAACAAATTTTGTTAGAATGTCTATAATCAAAAAGATGAAAGATAAGAAGTGTTGGTGAAGGTGTGGAGAAAAGGGAACCCTTGTACACTATTTGATGTGAATGTAAATTCGTAGTACACCCATTTTGGAAAACAGTATGGAGGTTCCTTAAGAAACTAAAAATAGAATTACTACAGGATGCAGCAATCTCACTTCTGGGTATATATCCAAAGGAACTGAAATCAGCATGTTGAAGAGATGTCTGCACTCCCATGTTCACTGCACCATTATTCATAATAGCTAAGATGCGGCATCAAAGTGTCCATCAACCAATGAATGAATTTAAAAATGTGGTATAAATACACAACAGAATACTATTCAGCCTTAAAAAAGAATTAAATTCAGGCCGGGCATGGTGGCTCACGCCTGTAATCCCAGCACTTTGGGAGGCCAACGTGGGTGGATCACCTGAGGTCAGGAGTTTGAGACCAGCCTAGCCAACATGGCCATCTCTATTAAAAATACAAAAAAAAAAAAAAAAAATTAGCTAGGCGTGGTGGCACGTGCCTGTAATACCAGCTACTCAGGAGGCTGAGGCAGGAGAATCGCTTGAACCCGGGAGGCGAGGTTGCAGTGAGCCAAGATCGCGCCACTGCACTCCAGCTTGGGCGACAGAGCAAGACTCTGTCCCAAAAAAAAAAAAAAAAGAAGTAGACAAGTAGAGAGTAGAATGGTGGTTACCACCAGAGGCTGGGTAGGGCAGTGGATGGGGAAAGGGGTAATATTAGTCAAAGGGTACAAAGTTTCAGTTAGACAGGAGGAATAAGTTCTGGTGATCTATTGCACAGCAATGTGACTACAATTAACAATAACCTTTTGTATCTTCCTAAATTGCTAAAAGTGGATTTTAAATGTTCTCACCAAAAGAAGTAAGTATGTATATCATTTGATAGATATGTTAATAGCCTGATTTGCTCATTCCACAATGGTTACATGTTTCAAAACATCACATTGTATGCCATAAGTATATACTATCAACCATTAAAAATAAAAATAACATTTAAAAATGAGGTAGCTGCCTTCCAGCAACTGTATCTGTAGGGGGTATAAATAATCCCAATGCATTTTAATAACTAACACAATGATATTCTTTTCCAAAGTGCTTTAGGACCACAAAGGGAGGGAACAAGTGAGGTTACACCTTCAGAAGCAGATGAGCCGCTTTCAACAATGATAAAGAATTACTCAAGTGATGACAGCAAGAGTATTCTAACCTTAGGGAACATCATGAACATCCTTTACACCTAAGAGGAGATGAAACTGCAAAAAGATGTTTGAAAGGGGTCGCAGCAACGAATGCTTCTAATGGTGAATCTCTACGTTAGCTGCATACTAGAATCTCCTTGGGAAAGTTCAAAAAATCCCCAAGCCCAGACTTCACGCCAGACCAATTAAATCTGAATCTATAGGGGTGGAACCCCATAGACCTAAGTATTTAAACAAACAAACAAAACTCAGATAATTCCAAAGTGCAGCCGAGGTTGAGAATCGCTGTTTTAAAGCAGGTGCAAAAAATTAAACGTGGACTTTGATAGGGGGACGGTGGTAGGCATGGATGAACTGAAAAGCCCTTCAGAATAGAGCGGTGACTGCGAGAGCAAGGACAAAAACTATATGAGAGCCCGTGGCAGGAGATTTAAGGGCCGTTCTTGTGTGGGACTGACAGGATTTGGGGGACGGTGACGCCCTCAGCATACACCCGACTCTATTAAAGTTGAGTTATTCTGCCAGCGGCCCTGTCCCTACCCGCAATCATATTTTCTAGCACCTTTTCCCACAGTTTGAAAAAAAAAAAAAAAAAGGGCGAAAACGTTCTCCCACGTAACGCGCCGTGGACGTGTATGGGAGGAGCAAAGGCCTGAGAATCACAAGCGCGCGGCCGCTACCATTTCTTCGCGATTCCAGAACCAGAATTCACGAACATTTAGAGGAGGCCTCCCTCGGCTGTGTTTGTGCCCCACTTACGGAGCGATGGTGGATTTCTCTGGGCAAATTGTCGCCTTTACAACGCCAGGGGGCGGAGGCGGGAGGGAGAGCGGCAAGGATAAGGGCGGGGCAACTGCTGACGTTCCCGCTGACGACTCCGACTCAGCCCTCACCCTGGTTTCCGGCGGCGCGCGGCTCCCTTTTCCGCTCTCCCGCGCGCGCACAGGTACCGCCTCACTCCCACGCGCCCCCCAGCGCTGCCGCGCTAGACAGCTGAGAGAACAGACACAGACCTGTCGGAAGGTCCTCTGCAGGTCCCCCTTCCGCTCTGCCGATCGACTTCCGCCTTGGGCAGTCAACATGTACGTTGCGGCTGTCTGGCGAAGCTGCTTCTGAGCGTTTGCGGAGGCGCAGCTTCCCCTCTGCGGGGCCGCCCTGCTTCCCCCCGATCCCCGCCTCCCCCCGCCCCTCGCTCCCGTCCCTGGGGTCGGCGGACTTCTCGCTACATGGGGGCGGGCTTCCGCGGTCGGCGCACGGCTTCCTGTTCTGAGGCGGCCCGGCGGTAGGCGGTGGCGACTCTGCCCGCTCCCGTTTCGGCGCGGTGACCGAGCGCCCGGGAGGCTCGAGGACCGCATCGTGTGCCGTTGCGCCAAGCCCGGTCCTGCGCCGCCATGGCCCCAGTGCAGCTGGAGAACCACCAGCTGGTCCCGCCCGGAGGCGGTGGCGGGGGCAGCGGCGGACCCCCGTCAGCCCCAGCCCCTCCTCCCCCGGGAGCCGCCGTGGCGGCGGCCGCTGCAGCTGCGGCTAGCCCGGGCTACCGGCTGAGCACCCTCATTGAATTTCTGCTGCACCGGGCCTACTCGGAGCTTATGGTGTTGACGGACCTGTAAGTGCCCCGAAACCCCTGCCTGTTCCCCAGCCCCCCCTTCCCGCCCAACCGGCTGAGACGTTTGCACCTCCCTCTCCCCGAGAGGCTGCTGTGTTCTCCGCTGGACTGCTTAGTCTAGAATTTTTGAACTCCTGGGGTTCAGCGGAGGTGGAGAAGAAGCTTTGTATCTGGGGTCTTCCTGGCAACGATGCAACCGAGACTTGTTAATTTTGCGTGTTGTTACACTTCCACTGAAAATTGTATGAAATTTTTGTCCGAGTTCCCAACAGAACTCTCTTGATTTCTTGGCTGGAATACATAATATTCGAGCTTTCAGAAAAAACTCCATAGACGGGAAATTTGTATTACAGCCTCTTGACGATACGTTTTAAATATAAGCTGTTATTGCTTCTAAGTTAATAGAGGAGCTACATGCGTTGTGTATAAAATACAAATTTGAATTCAAAGTACTTTTTTCTGGAACTTTTGAGTGTTTGAGGTCTTAATGAAGTTAGTGTGAGTAAAATTTTTTTTGTATGTAGTCTGTTATTTCTTGGAGTATGAAGGGGGTTTATAAATCACCTAGTTACCCATGAAATGCCTTGGGGCATGATTAAGTTGTTAATCCCTTCAGAATAGGATCAGAATATACTAATGAATTTCAGTGTGTGAAGAAAAGGCACCGTAACATTTTGGGACTCAGTTGTACATCTTATAACCCAGGTTCAGAAAAAGTTAATCAGAATTTTATTTTTTATCTATTGCAAGACTTCAGATCAGGGTTATCAGTTGAGATACATTAGTATGCAGATATTAGGCTGTAAAGCGTCACAGTAATTCGTTTTTAGAGATTGATAACAGATACTTGTTTGCAGATGGCTGAAAGAATAGGCTCCACTTACTCCTGTAAAACGTCATTCTCAGTTTTGATGTACTGTACTTTTTTGAATGGGACAGAAAAAAGTAGAGTTAAAGAAGCCTGCCCATGGCTAATGAGAAATTTAAATAGCTGTCAGGATTAGGGACTGTTGTAATGACATACCTCTCTGCACCATTTATTGTTGGATTTCATAAAAATCCAAGAATATCCATGAGAAAGTTTAATGTATGTGAAGGTCGCTGTCCTATATAGAGCTATGGAAAAAAAATGTTGAAAACTGATGCTATCGGTGGTGTAGTTTGCTTTTCCATAGGGGATTTGTAGAAATTCCTTGAATTGTGGTTTTTTGTCTTTTTACTATTTTAGGAGTTGGTGTATGAAGAGAGGAACATCTGTTTTATTGCTGTAGAATAAGTATGTAGTTATAGTCCCACACCCTTTATATGATGATTCCCATATTTGTATCTCCAGCACAGACCTCTCTGATGAACTCCAGACTCTATATCCAGATGCCTACATTTCAGTATCTTGATAGGCGTTTCAACGTAGCAACTCCAGGACCAAACTCCTGATTCCACTGTCCTCCCTTCTGCAAAACCTTCTTTGCTATCTCACTAAATAGTATCTCCATTCTTCCTGTTGTTGCTCAGGCCAAAAATTTTGGAGTAACTCCTAGCTCCTCTTTCTTCACATCCTACATACATCAGCAAGTCCTGTTATCTTTGTCTTCAGAGTCTGACCATTTCTCAACACTTCCACCAAGTGTTGGTCCAAGCCACCTAATCCTTCACCTGTGTACTGCAGTAGTTAGCTCACTGGTATCTCTGTAGTTCCCTTGCCCCTTCTGTAGTTTCTTCTCCACAAAATAGCCAGAATGATTCTTTTGAAATTTCTCTGCTCAGAACCCTTCGATGGTTCCCCATCTCACTGAGATTAAAAAGTTTTGATAATTGCCAGGTGTGGTGGCTCATACCTGTAATCCCAGCACTTTGGGAGGCTGAGGCGGTATCACTTGAGCCCAGGAGTTCGAGACTCCTGTCTCTACCAAAAATTAAAAATTAGCTGAGTGTGGTGGCCCAAGTCTGTAGTTCTAGCTACTTGGGAGGCGGAGGTGGGAGGATTGCTTGGGCCCAGGAGGTTCGCTTGAGCCCAGGAGGTTGAGGCTGCAGTGAGCATGATCGCACCACTGCACTCCAGCCTGGGTGACAGTGAGATCCTTTCTCAAAAAAAAAAAAAAAAAAAAGTGTTGATAATCACCTGTATAGTGATCATAAAATTTATGGTCCAAACCGGGACACTTTTGAGCATAGTGGGGCTGATGATAATAATGTCAGAACAAGAGGCATAAACCAGGACTGTCTTGGGCAAACCAGAAAACCAGAACATGTGGTCATCTTACCTTTAAGGCCTTACATGATGTGCCTTCTCTTTTCCTTACCTCTTTTTTTTTTTTTGTCTCCAACCTCTTTACCACTTTTGGTTTGTCCCTTACCTCTTTAACTGCATGTCCTGAAACTCTCCTCTTTGCTTATCCTGTTCTGACCACATTACCCTTCCTGATGTTTCTTTTTTGAGACAGGGTCTTGCTCTGTTGCCCAGGCTGGAGTGCAGTGGCACAGTCATGCTCACTGCAGCCTCTTGACCTGGGCTCAACTGCTCCTCCTGCCTCAGCCTCCCAAATAGCTGGAACTACAGGCATGTGCCACCATGCCCAGCTAATTTTTTTTATTTTTGATAGAGACAAGAGTCTCACTATGTTGCCCAGGCTGATCTTGAACTCCTGGGCTTTAAGCAATCCTCCCACCTCTGCCTCCCAGACTTTTTTTTTTTTGAGACAGAGTCTCACTGTTGCCCAGGCTGGAGTGCAGTGGTGTGATCTCGGCTTGCTGCAGCCTCCGCCTCCCGGGTTCCAGTGATTCTTGTGCCTCAGCCTCCTGAGTAGCTGCGATTGCAGGCATGCACCACCACACCTGGTTAATTTTTGTATTTTTAGTAGAGATGGGATTTCACCATGTTGACCAGTCTGGTCTCAAACTCCCAACTTCAGGTAATCTAATCTCCTTGGCCTCCCAAAATGCTGGGATTACAGGTGTGAGCCATCCCGCCCAGCCTCCAAACCTTCTTGATGTTTTTTGTTAGTGCCTAGCACGGTGCCATCTTCAAGCCCTTGCTTTTTCCCTAGAAATCTGTGTGGATTGCTTTCTCATTAGTCCTTTAGGTCCTTGTTTACATACAATTTATCAGAAAGATTTTCTCTGACCACCTATAAAATAGTACTCTGCCCCTTCACTCTATCCTTCTTACTTGCTGCTCTATTTTTCTTTACAGCACTTATTGCCACCTGACATTATTAGTTTGTTGTTCGTTCCCACCCCATAAGGACAGAGATTTTGATTTGTTTATGACTTTCCCTGGGGCCTAGAACAATGCCTGGCACACAGGGCTTAACTAAGTATTTATTGATTTAATACATGAATGTTTAGAATTGTCATAAATCAATATATGGTTTGATAGAAGAAATAACGAGTGTTTGATAAATCAGTAGGGTGACTAGTTTGCAAGAATCTGTTGTACACTTCAAAATAGCTAGAAGAGAATAATTCAGATGTTTCCAGCATAAAGAAAAATATTTAAGGTGATGGATATCACAAGTACACTGATTTGATCTTTGCAAATTGTATAAATGTATGAAATTATATGTACTGTGAAACCATACATCTTTAATGCATCAATAAAAATATTGTTCAAAAAGAATTGTAAATCATGGGAAATTTAATAGGAAAAGTTATTTTTGCTCTTGATACACAGGTATACTAAAAAACTTTTTTCACTTTTGATTGTGGTAATTATTAATAAAATTAGTTTGGAAACTTACCATGGAAGTTCCTAAATAGTATATTTTCCCTAAAAACTGTCAGGATTAATATGTTAATGTAGAGCCCCTGTTCTAGCTATACTTTATGAGTCTTTAGGGAAACAGTTACTCATTTCAGTAACAAGTGATGCTTGTGTGTGAACTATCAAAGGTAAAAAGGACAACCTTGGCAACTTAGGTGATTTTGTTTTGGTCTCAGATTTCTGGGTTTTTCTGCTTGTCCACCTCCCTTCCCCCTCAACATACACGCTCTCATCCTAGAGTTTACTCTCTGCCTTGACTTTTTAGAGACCTAGGTTCTACTCTTTATTATTTTTTGAGATAGGGTCTTGCTCTGTCACCCAGGCTGGAATGCAGTGGCACAATCATGGCTCACTGCAGCCTGAACTTCCAGGGCTCAGGTGATTCTCCCACTTCAGCCTTCCAAGTAGCTGGACTACTTGCCACCACACTTGGCTAATATGTATTATTTGTAGAGATGGGGTTGCCGTGTTGCTTAGGCTAGTCCCGAACTCCCGAACTCAAGTGATCTGCAGCCCAACCCCCGTCCCCCGCCAAGCCTCCCAAAGCACTGGGATTACAAGTATGAGCCATGTACCTGGCCCCCCCCCCCGCCTTTTTTTTTAACTTCTTTTAATTAAAATCAGAAAATGCCAGGATCTCAGTCATGGCATCTTGTCTTATTGTGCTTTGGTGTAAATAAATTTCTATGCCTTGCCTCCCAACATTTGCATTTTAGAGCTTTTACCCTATGTGGTAACTTTCTTATCCATAAAAGAATTTCAAATAGATTAGGAGGAATAGGGGAAAGGGGAGGCAGGCAGCAAAGCCTGTCTTTTGTCCCTGAACTGATGCTGCCTCTGACATGAGATGGTCCTTTTAGGGTCTCTGAGGCAGGTAGGAGGAGTGGGAACAATGATTGCTGTTCTTTCTACCCCCAGAGGCTCTACTCCCCTTCTCCCCTTATAGATACCCATCGTTCTCATTCTCCCCCTCCCTTGAGGTGAAGACAGGGGAAGGGCTGTGGATTCTCAAGGAGTGTTCTCAGAAGGTTTGGCATGTAGAGGAACTTGCCAGTAGCTGCCTTTATTTGCAGTCTTCTAAC